GCTACGCAAATGCCCCGTGGCGAGCTTTCACATGGACTTGTGCACTCCTTCAGGAGACCAGCACACAACCATGGGGAACACTTCAAGAAGCTGTCCAGGAATTCACAGCAGACACTGTGGATCTGCACCAGCTTCCGGACTCCAAGATTTATGGAAACAGCATGATCTCAATGTACAAGGGGATGCCAGCCATTTTGTCAACTCCTTATGGCTTCAGTCACAAACCAGAGCTTTTCACTATATCGCTATGCGGAGATCAAAGAAAATGGCTACCTTGTTGATCACGTACAGCTGCCCATCCTGCATGGCGCCCTATCCAGATGACTGGCCGGATGATGTCACCTTCCAAGACCTCATCAACAACTGGGCAAATCAAGGCATGGGACAGTACCTCATGGATGACAAGCGAGTGCTGATCTGCCACCTGTGTGGACGGCATTGCAACGAAACACACATGGGAATTTCACAGTCCCAAGATCCCTGGATGGTTTTGCCCGCGCCGGCAGTACTCATCTGCCATCGAGGCCCAAGCCACAACACAGGGCACTACTTCGCCCATCTCATTTACAGGGATCTGATGTGGTTGGCTGATGATGGAAAAGTGCCCACCTATTTGCCTTTCTTGACATCCAAATTGGCAAGTCAGATCACACAGATCTGGGCAGTGAGTGTCGACACCTTCAGAACACCTCAACAGATCTGGCAAAGCCTACTACCGCCAGAGGAGCCAGATTATGATCCTCCGCTGCATCCCACGCCACACAAGAGGGCACGCAAGACACAGGATCACAATAAACTGCATTATGGAAATGTCACCAATTTTGGACGACAGGTCATTGACTGGTACTGGACAAGGGAAGGAGACGTTCACATCTTTGCGGAAACCCATCTTGATCCACAGCGGCACCATGAGCTATGCCAATACTTCACCCTCCCTGGCAGAACAGCTTTTGGCACCCCGGATTGGCCAAACAATGAGAATGCTGGAACTCATGGAGGCCTGTTGATTCTAGCAGATCCATCTTGCAGTTTGACGGAGCTTGAGGCCTACACCATCAAGGGATGCGGTTACCAAGCCTTCCTATGGCAAGCCACTGAGTCCACGATACTGGTGGTGGGTTTGTACCTTCGTACAAATGAAACACTCCAAGGAGAAACCAACGCTGCCATCATCGGTCGATCACTGGCTCTGCTTGAAGCCACAAAGCACCCCTATGTAATCATTGGAGATTGGCAGAACTCCCCAGACGCCATTGCCAGCACTGTGTTACCAGCCAAGTTTCATTTTGGCATTCTGGCACCGGACCACAGTGTGCTCTCTGGCAACGTCATCGACTATGGCATTCTCCATGAGAGTCTGGCCAGCACCACAGCGCTGACAACAGAGTGGGCAGTACCATGGAGGCCACATGCCTTGCTTACCCTTCACTTCGACATTGAAGCTGCCACCAAAGAATACCGACAAGTACAAGCCTTTCCACCGCTTCCCAGGGCCCCGGATGTTGACTTTCGACCTTGGAGCACCTACCAAAGCCAGGCACACGAGCTCGAGCTCTACGGCAATCCGGTCAATGAGGCAGCACAGCACTGGGCAGACAGGATCTCCAAAACTGAACAATATCTATTGCAAGAACACCGTTGGGCAGCCCAAGGTCGAGGAGCCACCTTCGAGCAGTTGTTAAGCCCCTTGTGCCCAGTTCACCGACGCAGACCTGGAAAAAGGGCAAACCAGCCTTTTGGTCGCACAAAAGCAGCCTGCTGACACAAGCAAAGGACCTGTCCAAGGTTTCATGCAAGCCATTAACGATGTGCACAAGCATTGGATTGGCCCACCAACTTGGGGGCCAATTCCTCGATACAACACATCACTGGCACAAGTACAGAGACCCACATGCTGCAGACCTTATGCTACAGACAATCAACCACCAACTTCAGGAAGCACAACAGCGGGCAAATGATGAAAACATGCTACAATATCAAGAGTGGCTCAAAGCTGGACAGCAAAAGGGTCTGCGAGGTCTCTTTCGAAGCCTCAAGAGCAGTGAACTAGCATGGCAACGACCATACCGCCCAAGTCCCCATGCCAGAGAGGATGACACATTGCCTCAAAGATTGGGAAAACCTCTGGCACATCAGAGAGGACAACCAACCCCATCCAAGACTTAGCCTACAAGCAGAAGCCAAACAACAGGCACAGGCCGTTGAACCTCTCACTATTGGCCATCTCAGCAGAGTCCTCAAAGGACTACCAGACAAAGCCAGTGGACCAGACGCGGTCTCCACCTAACTGCTGAAAGGAGCTCCACCGCTCTCATTGGCACCGCTGCTCCAGCTTTTTCACACCATGGAGGCCCTCGCAGACCTGCCAACCCAACTCCAGATGCATATGGTCGTGATGCTATCAAAAAATCAGACCATCCTTTCGAGAGGTACACAAGGCAAGAGGGCAACATGGAGCCAATCATCACGCAGCATGATGAAGAGCCACTGTGGAATGCAGGATGGATACCCTTAGAACCACAAGAGCAAAGGCAACTTGAGCACCAGTGCCAAGGTCATGGCACCTGGCAGGACCTTCAAGTGCTCGAAACGCACCAACACCAGGGATGGGCATACACCCTCGATGCTACGCCATCCACCTATGATCAGCGCAGTCAGCTTTGGGTATTCGGCTTGTGTGTGTACACACCATGAGGTTGGGACAGCCGCAAAGACTGGGGGCTATCACTGGCATACCAAGCCACCAAGAGAGCAAAACCAGAGCACTTCTGGCAGGCCTCACAGCTTTGGCCAACTACACAAACACCCAAGTGAAGGTCATTGCGCAGGTCGTTGCAGACTGGGAAGCTTGGACACAGCCAAGACATAGAACACATTATCAAGATCTCTTTGAGGGACTGACGGAACAAGACTTCCAGAGAGTCACTGCGCTATATGTCAGCAAAAAACACTCGCACCCCAGAGGCACCAGGCAGTGAACCACACCTCAAGCGACGCCAAAGGGATGCGGCATTGGTTGCTTGGGAACGAGCTGACGCACTTCATGACAAAAGAGCCACTGAATGGGAGACGTCCTGGACAAGCACCATGCTGAGATCTACCAACATGCGGCAGCCCGACTTGCAAAAATCTATGCAGCCAAGGACCACTACATCCACCAAAAGGCAATTCGACATCAGGGACGTCAGACCAAACAGCACAAGAAACAGCTTGCGCAACAATGCCACAAACCCTGGCAAGCTCCATACCATCGATGGCAACCACACCGAAGTGGCTTCCAATGCACAGCATGTGGAGAAAGAATCCACCAAGCCCTTATGGTCTCAAACATCAAAGAAAGGCTGGTGCAACCATGCCCACAGCTGACGCTGGAAGAGAAGTACCCAGAGCATCATAGCCCACACACGCCACTACCAAAGAAGCTCACCAGAGCACAAGTGATTGCCAACCTCTTGGCACAACAGAAGGAACAACAGCAGGCAGAAGGCACTCATACCCTTGAAGAAACCAAAGGGTACCTCAGATGTGCCCAATGTGGCATCAGTGTGCATAAACGCACAAATGAAGCAGCCTTTCAGGCCTTTGTACAAGGTCAGTGCATCAACCAGGCCTACACCCAACCACATGCAGGCCATGCAAGCCACAATCTGTGGCAGCGCGGAGAAAAGCTGCACTGCCAGAACTGTGGCATTCAGTCACCGCTCGATGCACAGCAGCGCCCAATAGTCACTGCCGCTCTCCAGAAGATCTGCAAAGGCGCGGCCATCAGTGGCTCACCACCGCTGGCAGAAGTTTTCAGGAGACAAGCCGAAAAGGCCAGTCAGCAGTCACCTGAAGGAAACGCCAGCACTGAACAGCCAGCCACTGACACATCTATGCCAAGGGACAAACCGCCGGTTGGCCATGATACTCAGCCCTTTCCGGTGGCCCTGAGAACAGATGGCAAGTCAGCAACCACGGCATCACCCTTAGCACCAAGGCAACTCACATACAGTGAGGAGAGCAGTGTGCCAAAGGAACCTGGACCCTCTGACCACCAGCCAGGGTCCAACATCCTTGCAGAAGACACATGGCAAGGATTGCACAGACGGCAACCTCTCAGACCTGGCAGCCCCATGCCACAGAGTTCACAAGCCAATGATGACGATATGGCAGTCGAGAACTCTGAAACCAGCTCAACACCAGACCCTTTGGAAGTGGACTACTTCTAACTTGGGCTACGAGCTGCAGAACAACCTCACGCAGAGGCGGCCTGCGGCTGGCATGGCCAAAGAGCCCTCGAACTCGCCTGAAAAGACACTTTAGAAGAAAAAAAATACATACAGACAGACAGACGGACAGACAGACAGACAAATGCGGCTATATAGGTCCTAAATGTATGGATGCCGATCTGGAATTCCCAAGATTTCTGCAGAAGAACCCTTCGCAACGCTTGAAAAAGTAATAGAGAGAAAGCACCACGGAAGAAGCCACAGCGGCTTTTCCCACACACCGAGCCACGTGAAGAACCATTTCCACACCGTGGAGAGGTTCCAAGCGATCTGCGTCAAGACCCGAGACCTGCGGCGGAACTCGGGGCACTCGGGTCGGATCCGTCGCACCGATTCCCGACTGGATCCAAAGCAGACAGATCCAGCGAACCCGGGTGATCTGGCCTTGAAAGATCTGGCTGATTTGGGCTTGAGATGAGGAAGCAAATCCTCAACTTGCACTGAGTTGGAGAAGCCTCAAGCCCCTAAACCTACAGGCATAGAAGACCTACACCGTCCTTATGTCACCCTGACAGCCGGTCGAAATCTTAAGTCAAAAAGCACAAATGAAATGGTTTGCAAGGTGTTTTTGCACCGAACAATGGTGAGAAATCAGAATTTAAAAAACAATATCACGGTTGAGGGGTCTTTCAATGGTGGGGTCTTCAAAGGAGGTCATCATCCCACACCACAACCCCCGCATTAGATTGGACCTCCTGACCTCCCATGGTTTACATATAAGGACACTCGTGCATGCATGTGTGGACTAGCCTTGTTTGAGTTACAATACAACTGTTCATCAAGTTTCAGTTGAGATCGCCATGTCCAGGTTTGGGGTATATCTCACTTTACCATCTACACGGAAGTTAACTGGGTCGACCGAGTCGACCGTGAGTTTTGGGTGCATCAGTTAAACGGGTACATAGCTTTGAAAGCCGCCCGTTGCCGACGGTACCAAGGTTTTTCTTCGCCAGGCATAAGACAAGATCGTGTTGTATTTTTGAATGCGTGGGACCCTTTCTTGCCTGAAGGGACTTAAAACAATGAAGGAGGCAGGCAGTGATGAACTGATGTTGTCAGCATTGCCAAATTGTCCAATTCTGCTTGGGGACAGCTGATTCATGTCGTACAAAAGCTCTCGCCTCTCTTCCTTCTTAAAGGCCGTGTCCGGGGCCAGCTTCAAGATCCGCGCAGCGAAGAACCAACTTAAGATCCTCAAGCGTCGGGCCGGGCTCGTCACTTGAGATGCTGGAAGCCTTTGCAAAGCGAACCATGGGGTCTTAATAGGTTGAGAAACAGCCCACACGGCACCATCCAAGCGCGAAAAAGGCGCAGACTTCGATGTTTCTGGCTGGTCCATCTGGGTATGGTCGAACAAGACTGTGTGAGAAGACCAACTTCCTTTTCTGACTCACTCTTCAGACGAAATTAAGGGGAAAAAGTTCATGAATAGCGTGGAACACCCAAAATATCTGTTCAGCAGGAGATAGCTCTTTGCTTTCAGGTCCGCGTGCCGCCAAATGCAAGCCACATATGGTCGAATGTGTTTCTCCTTTCAAGCGGTGTTCATCTACAGCTTTCCAAATAGGTGGGAAGAAAACTTGCCAAAAAACACGAAAGCAACATGAAAAATCTTCTAATTAGCAACCACAGGTGCATCTGATAGCCCACATCTCCAATATCTGGACGCCACAATCCCAGCTGTTTCAATGAGCCTCCGTTCTCGAGGATGACATACCTCGCTTCGTGGAGACTGAAAAAACCACACGGGACGTGTGCAGAATGGTGTCCAGCGGAGCTGCTTGACTAAACTGGTCTGTCTTCTTTCGACCATGTTCCATTGCCATGGTCCGCAAACAGTTTCTCTTCGGCTGCTAGTCTATTCGAGCTGACCAGAAACATTTGGAAGCACCAAAAAGGCTCCTGTTTTGCCAGGTGCCTTTTGCAAAGCATCGTGGCCCCAGACCGCCAACGGAAAGCAAGAAAAACAACACGTTTTCGTGGCAAACCCACCAATCACTGGAAAGACTGGGCCCAAGCGCTTTGAGGAAGCTACCCCTCACCCGTGAAAGAATTGAACAGCAAAAAAGAACAAAATCACCTCCTTCCCGGGGTTTCCGGCTTCGGAGGGCGTATGGGCGCTTATCTTCTTCCTTGCGGTCGAACCCGTCCCATGACTCCACAGTCGGCGAATGGGCGTCCCGGACAGCGGTGTCACCACGAAGAGCACGTTGAGAAGGCAGCACCAGATGGCTGACACTGGATACTGTAGATACCCCGGCTGGCATCCTGGAGGTGGAAACGGACGTTTCAGGACATGGACCAGACATGGAAGGACGACACGACAAGCTGCAACCCAACTATAACGGAAGTGGCGCCCAAATCATGACCTGTCGGGAAAAAGGCGTTCCAAAAGGTGGATCGCCTCTCTCTGCGTTTTCGCACCGAAGGGTTCCTTCTCCGATGTTCAACGCACCCGATTCTGAGCGCAAGTGATACGACCCAAACATCTGCCGCTGGGTGTTCTCCACTCCAAAGACCCACCAGGTGTTCCTCTAGGAGAACAGAGCCCTGACCTTGTCTATAATGAGTGGAAAAGAACCGCCCAGGATCAAAGAAGGGAAGATCTCGATACAAAGGGCAGGGAAAAGATTCGTTGATCCATAGCCACCTTTCATGACCAGCTGAACCTCCCAAAAAAAAACCCTCCAAACTGTACCAGAAGATGAAGAAAATGTGCCTTTCGTGGCCCACTGCAGCCTGCGCCGCAGTATATATCCGCCGACCCCGCCGGTTGAAGGGGGCGCGCGCCAGAGAAGGCAACCGAGGGCATGCTGGAAGCGTTGCGGAAGGTCTGACAGCTTGAAGCGTTGCTG